GAGTTGTCTGACATGAGCAGAAAAACCAAACTGACCCAGTATAGCATCTAGGAAATTCCAAGCCACCCTGTCAAACGCTTTTGCCTATATAACTTCACCACCAAATTAGAAGCCCTTACCTTTCTGTCCAATTTGTGAAGCATTTCCAGGGCAATAAAAAATTGGTTCTGAATCTCCCTTCCTTTCATGAAACCAGATTGCTCACTAGAAATAATTTTAGGCAGTATCTGGGTGACTCTAGTAGCCAATATACGTGTGTTGACCTTGCTAATAAATGTGGAAAGACATATTGGCCTAAAATCCCCAAAGGATGTATAATTTTTCTTCTGAGGTATTAAAACCATATTAACACTCCCTATTCCCTTAGGAATAGAAACTCCCAGGAAACAATTCTTGAACAGATGATATCACATCTTTTTTAATTATCTCCCAGCATCCCTTGTAAAAGCTACCACCATATCCATCCGGCCCAGGTGCTGCATCCTCATTTAAACTCCAAACCGCATCCCTAACTTCCATCTCCCCTGGTAATTCAACTAAATTGTTATTATCCTCCGCATCCAACAACATAGGTATATCTTGCAGTAACTTACTGTGGGAACTAGTTTGTTCAAACCCATAAAGATTCTAAAAAAAATCAACTGCCTCTGCTCCAATCTCTTGACTACTATAGCACCACTCACCATTCTGCTTTTTAATCGCTGAAATATGCTGCAAGGGCTGCACATCGGGCGGGTTGGGTCGGGTTTGCTATATTTTTTGGGCCTACCCTATTTGTTCGGGTTGGCTATTAACCAACCCGCGGTACGCAAAATAAGTTGGTAAACCATGCATGAACGGGTCGGGTATTGGGGAAAAAATTCACTTCGGGTTGCATCTTTCATGTGGGAAATTTATGTAACCAATTTAAAACTCGATTAACTTGTTTCCAAAACACACAAACAAATACAAGTATTCTTATATTTTATAAGCAAAAACATTAGGTAATAGTATTAAAACACCATTCCGTAAAGGAAGTTCATTTAGAAGGAAACGTAAATATATAAAGGAGGTGCATTACCTACCCTTCAATGCTACAACGTTTTTAAAAAATTTTAAGTGCTATCGAGTATGCGCCCCATGTTTGCTAAGGCAGCAATTTCACTCCGTGTAATCTCCACATCATCTTTTTTAAAGATGTATGTGTGTCATTAATTAAAGAGCTTACTCCATACAAAGTTACAGATAGACTCATTGTTATTATTATTGCGAGTATTACTTATTACTTCGTATTATTGTTACTATGGTTATTATTTTAACATGTTCGTATTAGATAAATGTTTAATTATAATTCTAATACCATAAAGTTCTAGACAGAGCACATTGATCTTAAATTGAAATTATTCAAGAAAACGTTGTAGCATAATATTAGTAAAATGAACTTCGGCGGGTTGGGTACTATCGGGTTTGAGATTTTATTTCTGCAACCCTACCCATTAGGTGCAGGTTCAAACATATTTAACCCATGAATATTTTTAAAAATCAAATACCCTATTAAATAGGGTCGGGTAGGGTCGGGTCGGACGGGTTATGCGGGTTCGGGTTATTCTTGTGCAGCCCTTATGAATTCTGTCTTTAGCTGTCATATGAAAAAATTTAGTGTTGGCATCACCAACCTTCATTCATTTTGTATTTCCTCTTTGCCTCCAGTAAATATCTTGTTGCCTCACTCTTTTTAAAAGCAGAGCTTGCTTTTTATGAGCATTTGCCCTGGTGACTTCAGAGGGATCAGATTCAAACAACTTCTCAGCTAACAAAGCTTCCTCTTCCAACCGTTTAGTCTTTTCAAAAATATCCCCAAATACCTCCTTATTCCACCTCTTAAGATCCTCCTTAAGAGATTTAAGCTTAGAGCATAATCCACGCATTCCCCCTGCAGTAGGATAGCTCTCCCATTTTAATTTAACAAACGAGAGAAAGGAATCATTTGTGTACCACATTTTCTGAAAGCAAAACTGCCTTGGTCCCCTTGATGTTCCATGTTCACACAACAATAAAATGGGGCAGTGATCTGAGGGAGTCTTGCTCAAGTGTTATACGCTAACTGCTTCAAACTTAGACAAAAAGTTTGCAATTGTCAGATAACGATCAAGTCTCTCCCAAACTCTTCCATTCGACTGCACTCCTGTCCATGTGTATGTAGAACCAATAGTAGGCAGCTGCTGTAAATCACATGCCTGTATACAGTCCCTAAAATCCTGCATGTCCCCAAACAAAGGACTCAATGGCCCTTTATACTCAGCAAAAGAAGAAACAATGTTGAAATCTCCTCCCAGTACCCAAACAACATCCACTGAATTTGCATAATTAATAAGCTCCTCCCAAAGCCTTGTTCTATCAACCCTTGTATGCAACCCATACACCGGCGAGAAGGCAAAATTGAAATCAAGCGGAATATAACAAGCTTTCACCAATAAAAATTGGTCTTCGTCAATAATGGATAGAACCTCAAAGAAATCAGAATTCCACATCACCCAAATCGTATTGGACACAGACATATACATATCAGAAAAGCCCAACTGATGCTTAAAAAACACCCTTATTTTGACCAACAATCGGCTCAATAATAGAAATAAAGTTTACTGACTTGTGCCTAACAATTTCACGTAACCTCGGGCACGATGAAGCGAGGCCACGAACATTCCAAGTAAGTAGCTTCATAAGGAAACATCTAAGGGCATATCCTTAGTGTTCCTCTTGGCCGCTAACCTTGTAGTGACCGATAGAGGAGGGTAAACCTCTTTGATCTTTCCTCAGGAAACCACCCCCAAAGGTTCAGCCTTACTATTAATTACTAGATTAACTTTATTTTGCAGCTCTCCACAAACTGCCTTCCATGCCTCTATAGTGTGATCTTCATATTAACATGGTCCCCTTCCGAAACATACCCTGTTTTCTCAACCTCGGCAAAATCACTTGTGTTCACAACGGAACCTTCTTCCAAAGATGCTAACATGGTAACATCTTGACTATCTAAAACTCTCCCAGACTCAATCTTCTCCCCTTCTGGAAGACTATGATCTTCAAGATTATCAATTCTCTCAGATGCATTCTTCTCTCCTTCAGGCAGACCATGGTCCTCCACCCTAGTAAAGGCATTTCCTTTCCCCTCCGCTAGAGAGCAAACATTTCCCATCACCTCCGAGACAATCTGGTTATGAACCGACTTCGTACGTTGCTCTCCTTGATTCTCCACACCTCCCACTAAGATCATCTGTTTGTCCCCCATCTCCTCCCTAGTTTTGATCCTTCTGCCTTTTCCCCATCTCCTTGACTCTCCACACCTCCTACCAAGGCCAACTGTTTATCCCCCATCTCCTCCCTAGCTTTTGAGCATTCTGCCTTTTCCGTTTGTAATATAGCACCCTCTTTTTCCTTGGCCTTATTCTTCCTTGTGACTTGAACCCACTCTTCAGGCTGTTTTTGTAAAATCTTCTGAACTTGTTGATTGTTTTTCTGCCCTCCTGTGAGTTGCTTAACTCCCTCATTTCGTGTCCTCATGGAACCACATTCCTTCTTATCATGGCCCTACCTATTACACTTCACGCAATAGGAAGGCAAATCATCATAGGTACATTTCTTATTTAGGAGGACAATTATAAGAAGATGGCTATTTGTGAGGAGGACAACAAGCTAAATTTCGATGAGGAGGAGACCGAGGAGATTGATGAAACCGAACGAGGAGGTGAATACCCGGTGGTTGGAATTGTGCTTACGGAACAGAAAATAAAGTTTCATGTCTTCAAAGATCTTTTGGCTTCAATTTGGCGTCCAGGTAAGGGTGTATCTGTCAAAGAAATTGGAGATTAAAAGTACCTTTTTATTTTCTATCATATTGTGGATATAAATCGTGTGCTTGAGGATGACCCTTGGTTGTTTGAGAGAAATTTATTGCTCCTAAAGGTAGTTCACTCAGATGATATACCCACAAGATGAAATTGAGTAAGGCTGAGTTCTGGGTTCAGGTCCACAATGTTTCATATAAATTCACGAACCTAGGCTCTGCTAGAAGAATTGGAAACTTTATTGGCACATCCATTAGTTTTGATAAGAACCTGTTTGAAGAAATGTGGGAGTCTTATATGCGAATAAGGGTGTGTATGGATGTGGGGAGGCCTCTTAAAAAGTGCATTGGACATTGGGTAGATTTTAAATATGAAAAACTACCAAATTTTTGTTTCATTTGTGGTGTGATTGGGCATTCTATAAATGTTGCCCCTTGAAATATGAGGAAGGTCTTGTGTTGGAAAAAACTTTTGGGGTTGAACTCCGGGCTGGGGGATACAAGTCCTACATGGATTAATAAATGGTTAGTGGACAATTCTTCAAGTTCAAGAGATACCAGACTACAACGAAGAACAAGTCTAGAGGATGAAGGAATAGGGGAACAAGATCGGCGTGAGTTCTCAGCACATACAAGCAAGAGTGTGACCAAGAAGGGTGAAATAAGCGGGACCGAGGAGGTTCCAAGGGATCCGAATCGTAGAAAGATTTGGGGAGAACAATCAAAAGAGGTCTCGGCTCGCAAGAGCATGTCACTAGAACAAATAAAAAAAAGGGAAGACAGCGGGTCAGGACTTCTAGACCCGCCGATGGTGCAATTTGTAATCCTGCTCAAGAGGACTATTTATAATTTTTTTTTGCGTTTTTACATTTTAATTTCCACGCTAAAACTTTTGTTTTTATTTTATGTTATGTTGTAAGACTCTGGCATTAGGATTGAGTAATGAGAGATCTGCGGTAATCGTCGTTGGCTTAATTTGATCGACACGACGATTAATAAAATAAAAATTGTGTGATTGATGTTTGTGCAGAGGAGAGAGAATTAACTGGAACCACAAATTCTTTACTTAAAAGGGAAAATTGCAAAGTTAATGAGACATTCAACAAAGGAAAGTTGACAAAGTTATAAGGGATTAGGGCTATTTAAACCATATCATTGGCAATTTGGCATCACACAGGTAATACTCCGTATAAATCACGTGTTTGGCTTGTGAGTTGTGACTTCATCGTCGAGTTCAACCACCAATCCTACGGTATCAATCATCGTTACACACAGCAGAGGAGAAAAGAAGATCAATCCACAGCACCAGAGCTAACAAGAGATCGACTGTCAATCTCAGATCCCAATCCGTCCAAAAGATCTGAACAATGTCTACCTTCAGCGGCGATGAAACTGCTCCATTCTTCGGTTTCCTCGGCGCCGCTGCCGCTTTGGTCTTCTCCTGTACGCGTCTTTCTATCGTTAACCATATTTCTACGCGAATATGAAGATTTCAATTCTGCTTCTATACGCATCTAATATGGATCTGGATCGATCGATTAATTCATTGTCTGGTATTGCAGGTATGGGGGCAGCTTACGGCACAGCGAAGAGTGGAGTAGGAGTGGCGTCGATGGGTGTGATGAGGCCGGAGCTGGTGATGAAATCAATCGTCCCGGTTGTCATGGCTGGTGTGCTAGGTATTTATGGCTTGATCATTGCTGTTATCATCAGTACCGGAATTAACCCTAAAACCAAATCCTATTACCTGTTCGATGGGTACGCTCACCTGTCTTCCGGTCTGTCTTGTGGCCTTGCTGGCCTATCTGCTGGAATGGCCATTGGAATTGTTGGAGATGCCGGTGTCAGGTTATTGTTTAATACATTCATCACCCATGCTGTTCTTTTTGCTGCTCTCATTGCAACTGCATATAAAACTCTGGGACATAATTGATGCAATTATTTCAATCTAGAATGTAACTTTCATAGTAATAGTCCTTATTTTGGATGGATTAACTTTTAAATTGAAGAAATTGCAGATTTGAACATTTGGTGCAAGAGTGCTTCTATCGCAGAGCTAAAAAGTTGAATGTCAAAGACTAAGGGATACTTAAGAACATAATGATGAAAAAGAGTGAAAATTCGTATTATCAACCTGCTGATCTTATCTAATATACATAAATATAGCAACTCTATAACTTTATTGGTGGTAATCACTATCATATCTAACTTCTGTGTATGACTCTTTTTAGCATGTTTTTTTCAATTACATGAAAAATTAATTTCATTAGATCAAGTTTGAATCTTTTATTAGGATAAGAGCCATAAGACTATAAGGGTGCGTGCAAAAGAGGTTGTTTTAGGGTCACTTGCCTGTAAAAGGGAGCAAATGTTTGGGTTTCCGGGTATAGTTGGACTCAGGAAGGTGTGGTCGTTTCTAGTATCTGGTCATTGGATTATATGCATGCACTTTGTGAACATTTAGTGCTTACTAGGTCAATCCAAGCTTTACATACTGAAGGTTTTTTAACGGCTCCATTTGTGCATGTTTTATCTTGCTTTTACTTTCATTATCTATTTTTCTTCCATTACTTGGGGCTTCATGTCATACTGTTGTCTGGCTAAGTTTACCCTGTGAGTTTCTACTATATTAAGTAGTACATTATGTTGGAAGTTCTCGCAAAGCAATATGAAAACATTTGTAGAAGAAATTTAAGTTGCTTCTTGCAATCTTAATGCATAAAACCTCAAGCTTGCCCTTCCTTCTGATTTCTAGCTTGTTATTTCCCTTAGCTTGATAGTTTCGTCTCACCTTTACTTAGCACTCTTATTAAGAAAGTAAAACTATGTGATCTAGATTTTTATCTAGAAAAGCTAAAAACAATATTAACAACACAATTCGTTTCTTAAAATGTTATAGAATGAAATGTTTAGAACACCCCCAAAAAGGCAAACCCGTGAATAATTTTCTAGGAAGAATAGAGTGTACACTAAATGTCTCTTGTAAGATGTTTATTTGATTTTAGATTTTTATTATGCAAGTGTGAGGCAGACCTCACATTTCTAGGATCCCTTTAAGATGATTTAGCTCCAATTAATATTAAATTATAGATACTCATAACAATTTTTAATTTGCAGGGCTAATGCACAACAGCCTAAGCTATTTGTTGGGATGATCCTTATTCTTATTTTTGCTGAAGCTTTGGCACTTTATGGCCTCATTGTTGGCATTATCTTGTCTTCTAGGGCTGGCCAGTCCAGAGCAGATTAAAAAACAAAAATGTGGGTAACAACTACTACCTCCATCCCCCTAAGTTTGGGACAAGAGAAGGTGGCACGGTTTTTAATAAAAGTGGGTTTATGTGGTTGATATTGAATTGATAAAGTAAGAATAAAGTAGGAATGTTTTGGAATCACACAAACTTTACCAAATAAGGTATGAGACAATCTTAGTGGGACGGACCGAAATGGTAAAATGGGACAATCATAGCGGGACGGAGGGAGTACTACATTACTGTAAGTTGTGTGTTACAATTTGGAAGAAAAGAAAGACACCATTTTCTTATAAGGTCAGAAACTTCAGATGTTCCAGAGTGGTCTTCATTCTTGCACTCGCATCCCTTGACCCGCGGTTATTTGCTTTTTTCCTTTTTTTTTTTTTTCTGTACTAGTAACTTAATAAGTAATTTGCTTGTACTAGTAATTAGTACTTAATTTTGTGCTGAATAAGAGTTGTTGAATGTGTTCATATCAAAATATTCCCCAATTGTGTGATGTACTTTTAATGTTTGTGTGTTATACCATGTTTGGTTACTAATAGTTTATATTAATTAGGAATAATTATGTATTTTGGAAACTTCCTTTTATTATAAATATACCTGCCAGGGCTCCTATTGGAGTACGGCTTTCCCATTATTCTCACATGGTATCATGAGCCTAACCTAATCTCCCCTTCTCTCTCTCAAATTTTTCGGCCGCCTCATGAGTTCCCCCATGACTTCGGCCGCAGCAGTGGCTTCGACCACCGTGGAATCGTCCGTCGCGGCCGTCATCACCACGGTGCCGGCAGTCCACTTCCCCACCTCACCCATACCGACGACATCTATACCCTCTTCCTCAACTCTTTTTACAAATTTTCCACCGCCGCCGATCTACTCTATGGCTGAACCCTACAGCCTCTTCCAGTCGATGCCACCTCACTTCCCGGGTCAGCCACCTCTTTTTCGGCCTTCTATACCGGCTTCTCCAACACCGCCGCCATCTTCTCCGTTTTTTGGCTCGACGTTCTCCGGAACCACAGGCATCATTCGGCCGCCTGACCACACTGGTATTGGTTCTCCTATGTCGGCCCTTGCTCAGTCCGTGTCGCATATTACCACGGTCTCTCAAATTGTTACAATCAAGTTGAAGGCGGTGGAAGATTATCTCACTTGGCGCACTCAGTTCGAATCCTTCTTGGTTTCTCAAGGCTTATTTGGTATTGTTGATGGCTCAATTGAGGTACCTCCTATGCATACCATTGATTTTGCTAACCGTCAAGTTCCAAATTCCGAATATTATTATTGGTTACGAGTAGATCAAACAATTCGTTGTTGGCTGTTTGCTACTTTAACACGGGATGTTTTAGTTGATGTTCATGACTTAAAACATTCTGCTGCAATTTGGTCTAGACTTCAGACTCGTTTCATGTATGCTAGTCTACCACGTTGCATGGAACTTAAACGGTTGTTATCCACCATAAAAAAGAAAGAAAATCAATCTATGGAACTTTATTTACGAGAAATCAAGAATATAGTAGATCCCCTTGCTGCAATTAATTCCCCTATCTCGGATAAAGAACTTCTTGAATCAATTTTGGCCGGCTTGGGTCCAGAGTATCGATCCTTGGTCACTACTGTGTCTCTATTTCCTCATCAATTATTCTCACAGTTACTACTAGGTGAAAAATAATTAGTAGGCGAATTTAGTAGTTGGTACCTTGGGCCTATGTTTACTCCAATAATAACTTAGCTCGCTGTTTTGTTCTAATACTTTTGCACCCTATAGCAATGGGTGCAACTTTAATATTATGTTTAATTCACGGGGTGCAAATTCTAAGAAATAGGGTGCAAAGTCTTATGTATGTGTATGCATGTGCATGAGGATGCAATACTGCAACTCCAATATGCAGTAAACATGTATGGTGCATACGATGTACTTTTTCTTTTTCATTTTTTGGATTTTTGTGATTGTGATGTTGACCAACTAATCTCGAGGTTTCGAAGTTATTGATTAGGAAAACCTCATGCAGCCGTTCTTGGGGTTGAACTTAGTAACTTCAAAGATTCTTTTGTTCTCAGTTCAAAGTTTAACATGTTACCACGTCTATTTTTAAGCATTCTTCTGCACCTTTAAGTTTCAACTTCAATATACTTTGTTGCCATTCAGAAATCAAGAATAAGTCATTGCAACCATTTTGAATTTCCTTATATCCTAAAACTTTCAAGCTAACAAATTTCTACATGAAAATCAACACCATCATTTCATCTCATCCATTTTATACCTCATACCAAATTACTTTATTACCTCGATCTTTCAACTAAAACCTCCAAAAAATCAAACCACTCTCAGTCTAAAAATTAATTCTGTCGCAAGTGATTTTTATGTGCGTAGAGTAAACCTTTTCTTTTAGTTTTTTATGAATTATGATGAAGCTCATAAAAATCGAGTGTGCTTGCATCTTAATATATTATCAATATTACCATACTTGATGTATCTTACTATCTTATTATGATCAATATATTCATACTTAAAACAGACTGCTCATAATCGGGAATACCACACAACCGCTGAAATAATTTTAGTTTGTAATTTAAAACAGACTGCTCATAATCGAGATTACCATCATTAATTTTGTCAATATGAAAATCATATTCCGTTCTTTCATAGTCCGTAATAGGAGCATTAATTTTTCTAATAAAAGAATAACACATTCAAAGCTATGCAGCGATGCACATGAGGGGAATTTAATGCGGTGCATTGCTTGGAAAACTTTTGAGTGTCTAGTCCCAGATTCGGGCCGGGTGGCCCAACCCGGAACCGGCCCAGTACCAGTACCGTGCTGAACCGGCCCGGTGGCTCGGCCAGTGACCGGTCCAGGTAGGCCCGGCCCGGGGGGTTCCCGGTGCGGACTCGGGTCACCCAAAAGCCGAACCGGCCCGGCTAGTTCGGGCCCGGTTCCGGGCTTTTTAATTTTTTTTTTCATTTTTTTAATCTTTTCGGGTTGAGCTGGGTATTTTGGGCCATTTGGGGTGGTTTGGGGGGTGGGTTAATTAGGAAAAGGGAAAAAAAATTGACCTTGGGCCATTTGGGGTTAAACTGTTTTTGTAACTCTTGTATCAGAAAATCATTCAATGTACACCACACATGAGACAGGGATGATCAATAAGGTTCAATCTCCAGCACAGGAAATACAGATAGAGTCATGCTATTCTAAACAATCAACAATGCAACGCATTACCAATTTGCCATTCCACTAATAGATACATTGCAGATTAGCCCATAGAAATGAGCTTCAGTTTTTCTAAATGTCTACTAGATGGACACATTCAAAGGAGGGGAATACCATGTACAATGATCATCCTTGCTCATTCAAAGGAGGGATACCACACTGTTGATCCTCCAACCAAAGGATCTACGAGTCACATGTGGAGAAAAGCTAAGCCCAAACATCTCCTTAGGGGCCTCTCCTCCTTGCTCAGAGAACCCAATAAGCTTTGCAACAATTGCAGCACTCTCTCTTACGTGATCCATGTCCGTACTGCTCCACAAATGGTTGACTAATTTCTGTCTCCTCCGTTTGGAGTTCAAGGCTATACCCCACTTTTGGTACATGTCGTTCCTCTCATGTTCAGTAAACCTTTTATAGATAAGCCTGCTTAGCATTCCCCGCTCGCGGCAAATTGCTTTGAGGCTGTTTCTCCAACAAAACATAAGGGAATATCAAGTGTTGTGGTACTTCATGACTTCTTTCAAATAAATAAAAAGAAATACATCTCGGAACTTAAAGCTATTGCAAGTATCAAGATCGGTGTTAAACCAGGTCTAACTCACTCAAAAAGAATCCAAGTGGTAATGTTTACCTCACACTTATAAACTAGACTCAAACCCATAAAAAGAACCGATGTGGGATACTATACTCTTATTATTAGTATATAATATTCACACCTTTGATCCGAGGCTGAGGGAGCCTTGGGCTATATTGGATTGTAGCCTAACCTATTTACCAATAATAACAGTACTTTAATTACTTTTTTGTTTAATTATACCCTATTATCTAGCGACACGTTCGAACTATCGCTATCGATTAGCATACAAGTGCTTTTACTTCGATTTTAATGATATTGTTGATGATGGCATCGATAGTTGTGAATAAACAAAAATATTAACAATGAAATAGCGATATTTCATAGGGATAGCGAATGATAATCATGTTTGATACTAAAACCTTGCCTACTTTTTTACTGCAAGTTATTGAACTTGTTAAAACAGTTCTTTGTTACAAACTTACAACATAGAGTATGATCTTTCAACAACTTGTTAAAATATCATACTTGGTTTCGTAACAAAGTATAACTAAAGGCTTTGACATAACAGTTGTTTAGTGTGCTTTCAGTTGTTATCATATTGAATACGGAGTATTTTAATGTATTTTTACTTCTCTCTCTCTCTCTCTCTCTCTCTCTCTCTCTCTCTCAATTTTAGTATCTATAAACAATTGATTTATGATATCTCTACTTGTGATCAGTTCAAATGTAACTAAAAGTTCTGGCCACGCCCCTGGGCTCCGCAACTAAATGGTGTACCCTTGGGCTCCGCAACTAAATGGTGTACAATATTTACCCGAAAAGACCTCCACATGGGATGTCAATATGCCATAAGCCATTGAGTGGCATTTCAATCACTTTTATTCATTTTAGAAACATGTTAATTATCAAGATGGAGACTAGGCCCTATTAGACAACAAACACAGGACACTGTACTATAGATGTGCAATATGATAGTGGATAGTAGAATAGGAGATGGATGTGGAAAGTGTACCTTGATGCAAGTGTGAGCCGTTTGCCACCTTGCACTGCTGGAGTTCCATTTGAAAATGAACCGTTGAGATAGGAAAGCCTTCTA